AAACCCATGCAGTACAACGGTCCAACCTCATTTCTTTACCATCCAATACCTGCAATGAATTAAATAATTCAGCTGGAATAATTCAAACACATTCTATTCATAAAAGTTACTTAAAAGTAAATTTACCTACTCACTTCGAATTGCAAAAAAGAGTACTAATTCTCAAATTCTTGTCTTTTTTTATTAAATTTCCATCTTATGTTGTAAATTTGCAGGAGCCTGGAAAGATGGAATCAGAAATTGCAGAATATGGAGCTGCAGCAGTGATCAAGAAAATCCTCACTGATCGTAAACCCGGTCCTCCCATCTTACCCAAACAAAACCCGTTTGGAAATCTCCGTGATATCGATAATGTCAAATTACCCACCTGGTTTTCGGATGAAGACCTCAAATACTATGCTAGTAAATATAACCACAATGGCTTCAGCGGAGGATTGAACTATTACCGTGCACTTGATCTGTATGCACTAATTTCATATGGCATGTTTGGTACGAAGGACTACTCATAGCTCTCCAGAGTTCTCTAGTCATGTCCACTACGACCTTTTTTATACTATTTAGCCGAGTACTACGTACCAAACATGAACGAATAAAAATTGTGTTTGTTTGCTCAAAGTTTTTGCTTTATCAGAATTGAAGCCAATATTTTTTAACTGATGCAGAAACTGGGAACTAACTGCAGCATGGACAGGAGTACAGATAAAAATTCCTGTTAAATTCATTGTGGGGAATCTTGATATGGTGTACACTACTCCAGGGATGAAGGAATATGTACATGGAGGTGGGTTTAAAAATGACGTGCCATTATTGAAGGAATGCGTCGTGATACAAGGAGCCGGTCACTTCATCAACCAAGAGAGAGCCGAGGAAGTTAACGCTCACATCCACGATTTCATCAAGGAATTTTAAACCGTTCGATCATTTGATCATTTTGCATTAATGCTAGATTGTTAGCTGATTTCCTGTATTACGGTGCGAATAATTCGGCAGCCCAAGTTTTGAGACACTTAATTTGGAGTAGAGTTATTGTTTAACACCCGTCTAGATGGCAGTATTAGTACCATCACCTTTAATTGAACATATCACATAATGCCACATAAACTGGTGTTAGATAGTATTACTCCTCAATTTGTGTTTCGAACTAAAATCTATGAAATAATTTAGTGTTCGATGCTTAAGCTTGATGAGTGTATATGATGTTCTTCAACTTTCAGGGCTCGAATAGTTTTTGGCGAATTTAATGATGCATGTGATCGATCGATGTGCATTAGGAATGCTATGTATAAAGAGAAGCACCAGTCCTCTATCCACCATTAATGCGTATATTAATTCCATCATTAAAATATTACAATAAAGTGAGGGTAAGGGAGAGAGTCACGTTCTTGCATAATTTCGTTGCAATCACTGGCTCGCGAAATTGTAGAAAACGGAAAAAAATGTACAATTTCCTTGTTATAGTTTAACACGTGAATATCTGGAGTTCTGAAGATTCGAATTTATTGTTGTGTACGTTATTTGTGTGAGTTAACCAAATTACTAATAGAAAAGACGTTACTGAACAAAAATCTCTCACCATCGTTAAGATCACCATCGAAAATATTTCAAAAGTCTACTCTTATGGAAAAAGAATTAATACTTGCTCTACCATTAGTTTGTAGATCATTACATGAAATGCAAAAGAATGTGTTAATGGAGGTGGATGTGGTAATTTTCAAGAAATGATTGTCGTGTCTCTAAAGTCGAGGATTTCAAACCCCTAAGAAAGAGTGCCCAACTCATTCCTCCCTTCTTGGTTGAATTTCAGCAGTTATGCCTAATCGACACGACCACATAGGCCAATTAACTCATAAGACGGATTTAATATTTCTTGGAATGTTTTACAAATTACAATTTAATCATTTAACATAATTAAATAGTTATTAGAACTTGTTTGCGTAGTTAGAAACTCTTTTTCTTTTAAGGGGGAGAGAGGTATCAATTCTTAAACTTTAAACTTTGGATATGGGAAATATAGTATCTATCTAATGGTTGTGGGTAGAAACTCGATTATCTTCTATATATTAAAAGTGGCTATGTAACGGAATTTCTTGTTTTTAACGGAAAAACTAACGGGATTTGTTGTTTTAACGGACTATGCAACGGAATTTCTTATTTTAAATAGGTAGCTGCACCTTCATTCAGTGTTTTTATCATAACTTTGTATTTCGATATCCGATTGAGGCGATTCAAAATGCGTTGGAAAGATAACTCATTTGGCTACAACTTTGATTCAGACATCATTTTCCAATTCGATCATTTTCTATGCCAAAAATAGGTCTCAATATGAGACTAAAACATCCGAACATAACTTTTCGGTTGGAAATTGATTTGTGATCATCTTTTGACTAAATTTGATTCCATTGGCGTCTTCCTTTATCCAATTGACTCCGAGCACTCTCAAATCTTCATCGTGAGGTTCGGCACAACTTAAGTATTTACATTTTAGTCCCCAAACTTTGGATCCCTTACAATTTAGCCATTTCTCCAAATTTGTTAACTTTTGCTTATTTTTTTCGATCTCACCAACTTACATCACAATATCAAAATCACACATCTAATTATTTATCAATTACATAAATATTACATCATTAATTATTTAATTAACCAAAAAAATTACATCTTTATTAATAACAAATTAATTCTTAAACAAAACTATTAAATATAAATTAGGCAAACGTGCATTACACGTTGCTTGCACCTAGTAAATTAAAATGAAGCAAAATACTAGGGATGACAAAAATTCTTGTCCCTAACCTATCCAAGTTGCTCCTCCCAAATAGTAAACAAGACGGTGACAAGAAACATAATACTCGTACTGAATTTCAAACCCGCCATGAATTTTTCATTTATTTCTATATTTTTCAATTTAAACATATTTGAAAAAAATACAACTAGAGGTGTCAACGAGTCCAAACGAAACTTGAGGCTCGAATAAAAAAGGTTCGAGCATTTTTGGCCCGAACAGAGTCAAGCCAGCTCATGATTTTTTTATATTATATATTAAATACAAGCAGCATCTGGGCAGCGTGCAGGTAGCCACACGCTTCCTTTTTTTTTAAAAGATTCAATCAGTTGCCTTGCAGTGCAACTGCTTTGCAGGTAGCTAGCTGCTGCCCAAAGGCTCGGCCCAAGTTGCTAGCTGCATCGGCTCGGGCTTTTTCTGGGCCGAACCATGGACAACACAAGTCGGTGAGCAAAATTGACAACACTAAATAGAACATAATATATACATATACATATATTATATTAAAAATAGATAATTAATTAAACGGATGCTAAATACAGATTTTTTTAATCAACGTCCCATTCCCATCCCGCCTCCCAAAAATCCTCAACAAGATAGGGATAATAATGACCGCTCCAATCTCAGTACTCTCCCGTCGCCATCCCTACGACAAGTAAATAAATGCTACTATCTAAAAATAAAAATATATAACCAAATAAAAAACGCCTGAAATTTGAAAACTGGAGGTAAAACAAGAATCATGCCAAGTACATGAACAGCTTTTGGTGTCCCACGTTATTCATCCACTTCAATCGATACAATGCACAATCCCTCAAAAATAATTTGTGTGCCTATTGGTAATGACATAATCTCTCTCTCTCTCTCTCTCTCTCTCTCTCTCTCTCTCGTATCTTAAATTTTTTTCTGGTAACCTAATATCATGTATGGTCTAGAGGCATAAAGCGTCCGATCAAGGATTTAGGTTGGATTTGATAAAAGTTTTATATTTGTTGTCCTTCTAAATTTGACTCATTGGTTTAATTTTGAAACCAAAAAAACAAAATGTTTTTGTGGAAAAAGAATTTTTGTTGCAAGCTAAAATATCACAAAATTTTTGACACTTCACAATTTTAGTGTCGTGTCAAAGTTTGTTTGGAGGCATAAAGCGTCCGATCTTGGCTATAATTTTCCAATAAAATTTTAATGAATATCATCCCGAAACAACTAAAATATTATAATGACTTATGATTTTGTCAAAGCAAAGAATCGATGCAAGTTGTAGGCTAGGAAGGTTCCAAGTTGACTTATTGAGCCAAAACACATGGGCTATTTTCCAATAAAATTTGAAACGAATACCATCCCAAAACAACTAAAGTGTTATAATGATTTTGTCAAAGCAAAGAATCGATGCAAGTTGTAGGTTAGGAAGGTTTGTTATACAAGTTTAAGTAACTTTTTGAAATTAATCTAAAATACAATGTGAATCATTTTTTGTTTAATTGGACTAAATGTACCTGGTCATATCATGTTGTGACGACCCACTCAATTTAAGTTTCTAACCTCGTCACTTTTTCGACAATATTGAACAATGTTCGTTTAAATATTTGAAAATAATCTTATATTAAATTGAATATTTAGATTTCGAAGAACGTGACAAAAGAAATGTTATCATTAAAGGTCAAGATCTAACTAAATAGGTACTGATGACCTGGTTTCAAGGCTCTTTTCGGTGGGAGTGGTGAAATCATTTGATCCCCCTTTTTATGTCGCTAGAAAATAAAATAAAATGAAAACCAGAACATTATTTATTTATTAAAACATTTTTTCAATTTCACAACGTAAATGATACAATTAAAAGTTTGGTGGCCAAAATAAAATATAGCGTAAAGTTTAGTGATCATTGAGGAAATTTTCTAACTCCGTCCTCGTTGGCGTGTTTGGACAGCAGTTGAAACTTACTCCTTGTCCTTGCAACAATAATAATAAATTAATAATAAACTAGGCAGGCGGTGGGTAGAAAGAGAAATATTAGGAGGAATACAAAGAAACTGATTCACGGTTTTTCCACGTCCTAAACTCTCGCTCTCTTTTTCTAACAGTTACGCATTTCTCATAAATTCACTTAATTTGGTCAAAATATTCATTCATTCAACCTCTAATTACTCGAATCTTGATGTAAATTATCTCTTGCAAGATTCAAATTGAGGTAGGGTTTTTGGGAATTGGTGATTGAACTATGGGATTGGGTGATGCGGATCTTCTGGATGATGGTGATAGGGGTGGGGGCAAGGCAGAATCGGCGGTTGTTTCGTGCTCAATTTGCTTAGAAGGGGTGACTGATAATGTGGCTAGATCCTATGCCAAGCTTCAATGCGGCCATCAATTTCACCTTGGTGAGTCTAAATTTTTCGAGACATTTGGAAATGATTGTGATCTGACCAAACTTGTCCCTCGATGTTATTTTAGATTTTGAATATAACTTTTGTTTTAATAGAATTTAGATGGAGAATTTTGTTCAATTCTGGATGGAATTCTTGGTTTTCATGCTGTGGGTTTATTTACTAAATTTGTGCAGTTGCTTGATTTGGTTTTTGAATTGCGGAGATTTAGACTTGACCGTATTTTAAATTTAGGATCCGGATGAAAAGTTCAGGATGAATAAATGGTTGGAATTGGTAGTAAAACTATCAAGTTGTAGGATGTTGACCCTGCCAAGTTGTGTTGATTAGGTTAATTGGGAATTTTGGAAGTTTGTATTATGTGGAAATACATGCTGCATGGAGTGGATAATTGATGTTGCTAGTGATAAAGCCTGAAATTGTTGAAGTAGTATGACAAGTGTTTAATTTTGTCTTCCATTGGCTTTATTGATGCAATTTTAGGTTCAGTTTATTCTGACGCTGTGCATGCCAATGACATCGGCATATATTTTTTTGTTTGAAATTGGAATCACAACGTAGGATGACCTCACTTGTTCATAGGTGTAATTACTACTCCAGTGACAGTAAAATTTGAATTGAATAAAGAAGTGGAAGCTGATCCATCATGTTAACCAAACTTTTTTCACAACCTGTCGCGTTTGTTTCAAGCAAACTGTTCATCTTCACTTCATTGAGCTGGTTGAAGCAATCATTAGTTTTTTGGTATGGCATATATGTGATTCAACCTCGTAAGATACGACGAATATGTAAAAAGATGGGTTTCTTGGGGATGGGAGTACAGATATACATAAAGCGAGAGCGATGGCATTGGGATTGCTTTAACTTTGGTGATTGGAAGGAGGTCACACTGGACCTTGAGCATTGATGTTCTGAAAGGACAAGAAGGCTGAATTTGTTGGAAGTCTGGAGCTTCCTGAGACAAGCAGTGTATTTAGGAGTATAGTGTTAAGCTAAAGTGTGAATTGCGAGGGAAAATGTTGGGGGCATGGTTGCTGTTTAATATAAGGCTGGGAGAATTGCTTGTGCTTTAACACACAGAGTCTGCTAGAATTGATGTGGAAGAGAAGAGGAAGAGACTGTCATGAATGTTCTCCTTTGAGTAAAAGGAGAAGGAAAGAGCCTGAGAAAGTAACTGCTACTCTTCACATTTTATCTCTAATTAAGTGCTTGTTTGGGATAGCTTAAAAAGTTGAGGTCAAAGTCAATGATTAATTTCAATCACACATCTCATGGAACCTACAATTTTTATCAACTTTTTAAACACGTATTTAATTAAATTTTAGCAAAATCTGACCAAAAGTTTTGTCAAACCACCCCTAAAAAAGTGCAGTGTGAAATTTGCTAAGGTACTAAAATGCTTGTTTTTTTATCGGGTTTTTTTTTTGGGATAAAACTATTTGTACATAATTTTCCTTACCGAAAATGTTACACCCTCTCACATGTGCGCGGGGCCTGTGTGAATAAAAAATTCCCTAATATATGGTCCCCACACCCTATCGTGAGTGTAGGTAAAAGATTAGGTAAAAAAAATTATGTACATGTAGCATTGCCCTTTTTTTTTGGGGTGGGTGGATGGGTGGGTAGGGTAAGATTAGCTTGCATATAGCATCATATTATGTTTCACATTTTGGTTTTCTCTTTCAACTCTATCCTTCATGTGCTGCTGTACAGTCACTTTTTGCTTTAGTGCCTCTGTCATCGTTTAGAGAGACAGGTTACTCCTTATGTACCACGTAACCAATCGGCTATAGATTAAAAAGAAATTGCTAAATCTGTAGCCTTGTCAAGTGTTGTTTTGTTTATGGCAACTTGTTTCCATACAAATTTCATGTTTGATGAAGGGTCAAATAAAGATGCAAAATGGCTTTTATACTTTCAAAGGAGTACAAGTATGCTAAACTCAATGCATCTTCCTGAGTAATTGTGCTACGTGGATAAAAATTTATATCAATTGATATGATTGACATGATATCTTTTATTTTATTTAATTTTTTTTGGATTGAACAACAATAATCAAGTTTGTCTCTAGAAACAAATACACGTATTTCACGTCAATGATAATTAAGAAATGACCATGATTAGCACTATGTCCTCCTGCACCTCTGCTGGTGAGGCAACTACCATATGGATTACCTTTCAAACTATTTTAAGCATATATTTCTCCATGTTAGTATCTTGTTACCACCGGATATGGTAATATTATATTGTGGGGTTATTTTATATCTTCAGTAAGTTTCCATGTCCACCCCTGAATGAGGCTGTCCTTTAAAACAGTGTATGCTGTCTATCCTTCAAAGTACAGACTGCACGTGTTGCTTCAATCATGCTTACAAATACTGTGGTGTTCCATATTAGTTGGTTACTCTCACCCTCCCTGTCCACCATTAAATGACCTCAAGGGTGGTTTATACAACATATAACTCCAACCCAGAATAGAAAACCTGTACAATTCTATTCTCATATCAATCCCTAACTAAATAAGGAATATAAGATCGACTGAATACAAGTTAAAATAGATCTACTATTATAACTCATCTCCCTTGGAAAGCTTTGAAGAAATTGAACTGACTGTCAAAGCTACGACGTCAAGTTTGTTTGTAGAGTTATTCAAGAATGATGTGTGAAACAGATAATTGACGCAAGATTAAGTTTTTTACTAATAGCGTTTCCCAAAGCATATGTGAATCTGGTGCATTCATAGTTCTCTAAAGTTAATGTAATGGGATTAAAAATTCTTTTAGGAGAAACTTATTAGTTTACTACGAAGATAGTCCTCAAATGCTTTCTCATGTACAATAGCATTTACCCTGAAACTATTAGTACCCAAGTACTTTCACCAATGAAAAGGTTCAGGTAGTGAGAACTCTTATATTCTCAAGTTTTAGACAGCCTTTTTGAAAATCCATATCTACCGTTAACCTTGAGGGGTTGCTCAATTGGTCAGGCTTTGAGTTTGCTCCTCAGTGGTCACCAGTTCGAGTCCCCTCAAGGCCACTGAGGTGAGTACTGGTCGTAAACTTCAGGCCCCGTGGAATTAGTTGAGGTGGGCGCAAACTGGCTCGAACATCCACGGTTATAAAAAAAAAAAAAAATCCATATCTACAGTTGATCATTTATGTGAGTATTGACCAATAATTTTAGCATTGACTCTGTTTAGACTAAATAAAGCACTTGTTAATGGTGTTTGAATGAAAATGATTTATAGGGATAAATAGTACAATCAAGAGAATATTATGTCATGGCGTGATTTTTCACACTAGTAGCTGCAAAAAACTTTGATGCTGAACAAATGAGATTGTGCTCGTATTTGATATTCTTTTTTATCCTTTTCCTCTCTTTTGCTTTTACAAAAAATAGTAATCATTAGTAGAAAAATGAAATTTCTGATCTGCCATTTCAAATTAACACAGCAAGCACCTTCCTGGCACATGTTTGGTGCTTCGGATTGAGATGTTATTTGAAGTTAGATTCATTTTGCTTGACTGGGAAGTAAACAACTATATGCATTGTATTATGCTTGTAGATTTTCTTTCCTAAATTTTGACTAGTGTGCCGTGTCACTGACAACATTTCTCAAGCATTGGAATCTTCAATTTCTTCTACTCATGAAATTCAGCTATTGCTTAGCATTGACATGTACTGCACATTTTGTTTCTTTTCTTCATAATTATTTTTTAGCGAGTTATTGAGAGCTTATTTGTTTCTCACTTTATTATATCTTGTTTATGATCTGTGTAGATTGTATAGGTTCGGCATTTAACATTAAGGGAGCAATGCAGTGTCCCAACTGTCGAAAAATTGAGAAAGGTCAATGGCTTTATGCCAATGGTAGTCGTCCGTTGCCTGAATTTAGCATGGATGACTGGGCCCATGATGAGGATCTATATGATCTAAGCTATTATGAAATGGTAATAGTAAAAAAATCTCTAAATCTTATGAGGATTTTCTTTATAATTTGTCTTCATGTACTGGCAGCCATATGTTTGATTTCTGCTTTATTATCTTTCTGTGTGACACCTTTGATTTGTTGCCTGATCGAAATAATTTACTATAGGCTTTTAAAAGAATACAATTGAAAAGATTATCGTGTTTGTTGGAATGTAGTATATGCTTTTGCATTTGATTTCTCATAAAGTTTACATTTTCTTTCTTAAGCTTATTTGGGTGCCCATTGATGGCTGTACCATGTCCAATTATTTGCGCCATTAACTCCTTGTTATAAAAACATACACCTATTGGGTTTTGTTGTCTTGGCCGCTTATACCAATTTTCACGTGTCTATATTCAACACACTACATCATCAAGCCTTGTCAGTTGGTATCACGTCCTACTTGTCCTTCTGTATTTGTGTGGGTTAGTAATGTTGTATTTAATTTTAACCTTATCATATATTGGCTTTGATGAACTCTTATCTGATAGATACTTGAGCTACATTTGTGGATTTGTTTGCCTGGACTGATAGCTATGTTATAGTTCAAGAATCAAGAATGTCAAGGCTTTTCATTTGGCCTACGTTTCAGTATCTTTAGTGCTGGGTCAAATGGAGTTATGGAACAGCGAAAAAGCATACATGATGATGTAGCTGAAACTGATTTATTGAGAAAAAGGCTCAGATGCTCGTTGTTGCTATTGTTGTCTTGGCCTACATTTTTTCTTCCGTTTAATATATCTCATGACTATTTTGAGCAGTGCTATATGCATCGAGCTGATACTTGAATGCCAAATTACTCCCTTAGTTTTTAATTGGGCATTCCCTTTCCATTTGAGCCACTTCTTTCAAAATTATTTCCACTTTCTTGACACTCTTCGACTCCTTTACCTAAATTGCCCATGTCCTCATTAAAATAATCACCGTCTTACCATAGAAATCACTTTTCCTCCATATGTACACAGATTCGCGCTTATCCCTAGGTTGCATGCAAATGAGGCAACATGAATTTCACTGTCTTTAATGCAGGTGGCAGTAGCTGCAGACATTTTTTTATAGTTTTAGGTTCATCATTTATGTTTATTCCACAAGAATGCTCACATGCACTGCACACAGGGGGGGGGCGAGAGAGAGACTTGTTCTTTTTGTTGGGAGGAATGTGATCAGCACATTACTATTATAGGTGCTAACTAAATGGATCTCATTTATTTCGTTGTACATTTACTGTTATCCTTAATTGTGTACTGGATGAATTGCTCACTGCAACTTTTTAGCTTTCGTAGCTGGTTGTGCGTGGAAAAAAGCTGACAACTTAGGTTATCAGTTTTCACTCATCAATTTAGTTTCTCAAAACTTGTGAATTTTTTTTGCAGTCATTTGGAGTTCATTGGTGTCCATTCGCGGGATTAACTCGGCTTCCTTCATCTTTTGAGTAAGCCTTTTTTACCTCATGTTCAATTTTAACTTCAAACGTGTAACTTATTTACTTCAACCTAAGTTTTCAGATATTTTTTTGAATAAGTTTCTTTATAGATGTTTCAACGTAAATGATCTTGTATTATTTAATCATTCTCATTTTGAAGTTGTTCTCATTGATTTCTTTTCCATTTGCCACTGGTTACACTGCAGACTTTTTAACTTCACGATTTTGAAATGTACGTGTCATTTTATTAGATCTTCATGTTTTCACAGCTTAGAATGACTCTGTATACACACATTTAACTTTATTGCAATAAACTTGATGATACATTGATACTACTGTGTTACAAATGGAGGTCAGGTACATGATTATTTGTGATGTTCCTTAATGGCATCCTTGTCAACATTTTTCTTTGTGCACTCTCTTCTCTTTCTTAATGTAGTCACTCAATAATTTAAAAATTACAGGTGTGATTAATGCATAGAAGTTTAAGAATGATAGATATCGTTAATGCAACAAAGTTTAATCTTAGGCAGCATTAATAGATACTGGATGTGCTTAGCTCATCTTGTGAGCTCAAAATGCATTTAGATAGTTGTATATATTTTGTGTGAGTCTCCATTTTGTTTTTCTTGAAGGAAAGCTTGATTGATGAAGGGAGGGGACTCTCAAAAGTATCCATCCATTCTTTGTTCTTCCTGCTGTCTTTTTCATGATCCGAGTATGGGAAAAGAATATGGGTTCTCCTGGTATGGATTCTCTTTAGGCTGGACAACTTAAAATGGTCATGTCCGATCGATTAGCAGAGTCTTGACGTGTGTATGTTGTATGTATGTCGAGGAAATTGTATCTAATCAGCTTGTGTGCTGCCTAATAGAAACTTGAATCATTTAAGTAGAACTGCGCCTTTTGGTTGATGTACCTCTGTCTATCAAATTATTCTACTCTGGAGTAGCAATTAAGACATGAACTAGTCAACCTTAGATGTTTAACTCAGGTCAGTAATTTTTTAAGCCATAATTGTGGTCAGCTTGAATATAAATTGAGTGTTAAAGCCTGTGTTTAGCTAGTCAAGTTTGCTAATGAACTTGGGTTTTGGGTTCTGTTAAATTCAAAACCCGATTAGCAATGAAGATCAAGCTAATCTTTATATGCCTATATTGTAAGTTGTATATCAACACATATATTTGACTTGAAAAATGTTTTGAGGGTTTAATATAAAAGTAGTGTGTGCTTATTTAGAAAGCTTTAAAATGAATGTATCTTTACTTAAAGGAAGGATTCCTGTTGATTTCTTTATTGGAAAGAAAACCTTAAAAAACTGTTTTCCAGACAATCTGTCTTCCCACTTATTGCCAATTAATTTAGGTTGGATGTGCTAACACGGTCTTGGAGATGGGCTTGAGGGCTGGGCTTAGTTTCTCTTCTGGTCTAGTACTTGCTTCTCCCTCTCCATCAGTCGGAATATTATTTCTCAATGTCCTAACTCATAATGCAGCAGTCTTAACGAGCTCCAAGATATAAGGTTGCACTACTACTGCAAGTCATACAGTGAGACAGGCTACATTTTATACAATGCAGATATGCTGGTTTCTATTCGGGACACAAGTTTCATGAAAAAAGTATGAAACCGATTGGAATGGCAATGTTCCTTATCGTGGAATGTAATTTTGACATGGACAGATCTGATGGCTGAATGCTTATTTTGTGATTAATTGTTGCTTATTCTTTTTCTAGTTATTGGTTCTAGTGGAGAAATAATCTATCAGCTACCTAGGATTCGTTAAGTATATGGTTACAACTTACAATCATATAACATAGTCACCTAGGAAATAAATATGAGAGAGAGAGAGAGAGAGAGATGGTTGTCTAGCATTTTCCTTCTATATTTTTTGAATTTTAAGTAGTTAATTTCATTGATATTATTTTTTCTTCTGTTCAAATACTAGCTATCCCACTAACAGTGCTTCATTTTGTTTTCTTCATGTCCTTTGTCTTCACAGTGAAGGAGAATTTCCATCAAGTGCATGTAAGATTTTCATCCTTTTATACCAAGTAGCAAGGTTTACATCAAGCTTCAGTAACGTTACTAGTTTTCATTGTTTTATAGATCATGATCTTGGACAACATGCTATCTCTGCCGGACATACAGCTTTATCATCTATGGCACATCCATGTCCTTATATTGCGTACTTTGGACCAATTCATCCATCTTCAACCTCTAGTGGAACTATATCGGATGGATCTAATTTTAATAATCAGTGGAGTGCCCAATCAGTTCCAGGTGAGATACCCAGTTCTTATGCTTTTCCCACCAGGGATGTACATTATCGCAGTTTGGAGCACCACACCTCTCCGTTTGCTACAAGCAGCCACATTGGGGGTGCAGATCAATCCTTGATGCCATCCATGACTCAGAGAACAGCTAGGACAAGTTCTGATATCCCAGGACCTGGATCCGCCATGCACCCATTATTTGTTGGCCACAGGTTAGTTCATGGTGAACCCATCACTACTTGAACCCTTCCCTTTGATAAAATCAGGGCAAATCTACAAGTTCAGTTTACAGGTAGCTTTCACAACTGCCTCAATACCCTTCCTCGGTAAAGAAAAAATAATAATTAATTATGAAGAAAGGGTGAAGTGTGAAGGGTTGATTTGATACTTCACATTATCTTGAACTAAACCTTTTGACCTTTTAGTATCTATACCAAAAACAGAGCTGATTTTCCATTAAACTGAACTTTGTATTGATTGTAATCTAATGAAAAAAGTCAGAATGACCAAGTAATAGTCTATATATTGATTGGTTTAAAAGCTTGAGTTGTTAGATAGGCCACAAGGCCACATGTATATCATTTGAATACTGTCTTCAACACTGCCCCTCACGTATATGCAAGATAACTTTTTTCCATCAAAGCTTAACACGTGGACAATTCATTTAAATGGACATGAACACAAAGACCTTTACATGCTTTGATACCATGAGAAATCACTTGATCTAAAAGCGTAAGCTGTTGGATAGGGCCACATGTATATTATTTAAATATCATCTTCAACATTAGTTACTTTATTTGCAAAATGGTCTATAAGTTTTTATATTTGTGTAACGTTGACATGTATCATAACAGTACCGCTAGCAGAACGCCCAGTTCTACCTCATCAATGGTTCCTCCTTACCCCGGTAGTGTGGCTCGGGCACGTGATAGGGTTCAGGCTCTTCATGGATATTTTCAGCAACCCAGTGGTAGCCCAGCTGCAAACGCACCTCTTATACCTACCTCTCGAAGATCCAACAGTCATAGGGGTTTGGCGCAGATCGCTCCTGTGGCTTCACCATCGGATCAATCCGGTGGCTTTTACTATTTCTCATCAGGTTCATCTGGAAGAACTTTCCAAGAAACGGAAAATCCTGTTCCTAATCGCTTTCATTCTTGGGATCGAGAACACTTGCCTTCCTTCTCATTAGGCCAGGTCGAAAGAGATCCCATTTGGAGGCCATTCCATCCAGCAGCTGGTGGATCTGATACTGGAATCAGATCTGGAAGTTTCCGCCAGAGGCATGGATCTGAGAGGATGCCATCTCAAAATCGGTCATAGACGAATTTTCTTCTTGTGATGAAAACTGTGAGTACTATGACTGAAACCCGGATTCTAAATGTTTGAGAAATGATCTGTAAAGTTTGATTCTGCTAAGAACAGCAGGCCTGAAACTATTGTGTGGCCTTGAAATTATTGCTTTCCACAAAGGTTGTGTGATGGACTGTGGCTTCCTCTTGTTTCTCTGACCTGGAGATAATAATATTCATGTTTATAGCAAAAGCTGGTGTTTTAAACAAATTATCTTTCACCTGATCCAACTGGGGATTGTTATTTGTATGTTGAATTTTCGATGATATAATTTGCAGGCAAATCAGCCAGGTTTACTTGCAATAGGGTTCCAGGAACTGTAAGCTGTGGAAATAAATTTGGTCTTCAAACGTTTTTGGAGAGAAGGTTATCCTTTCGATTTTTAAGTTACTTATTTTGACTGTAAAAATGAGTTATTCTCAAAATAAATTGCTTATTTTTAAAATTTTTGACCAACCAATTTTTTTTCCCGCATATTACCTAATTCAAATGTTCTTTTGTTGGATAGATCTTTGAATTTTCAATGTGAATGAATTTGACTTGTCATTCTTGTCTTAAGCTACTACAATTTTTAAAATCAATTTCATTTTGTAATATGAAAATTAATGGTATGTTCTCTTTACCATTTTCAAGTCGTTTTTTGTTTTCGATTTTCCAAAACAGTGAAAATGTGTTCTCCTTCTTATTTTCTTAAACGCGCTTTTGAAAACAAGTTAAAAATTTAAAAAGAAAATCCAAAATGACAAATTTGTTGTTTTTAGTGTTTTCAGTTATAATCAAGTCAAAATATTCAACACGCGTTGAGTGTTTTCAAAACAATTTTTCAAAATACTAAAAAGAACACAATATTTTTAACAATTTCAAAATGGACATTCAAAACACAAAATTCAAAATGAATTCAAAATACAAAATTCAAATACAAAGAGAACGGTCCCTAAATGTAACAACTTTGTGAAAAAAAGAAAGAAAAAAGAAACTTTAAATTAACTTTGTTTAAGCTAAACATCATGCTCTTGTCTAATCTAAAAATATAAAAAGAACAATTACAAAGAAAATTTGAAACAGAAGTTAGGAAATATAATTTTGACATTAGTTTTTAAGTCTAACATGAACGCAAAAGAATGCAAGAAAGATTTATAATTAACATTTTTTTAAATAGTCAAATTATAATTTTTTTTGGAAAAATGCTATGTAATGGTGTCCATAATGGATACATGGAGGCCTCCTATTGGGGAGGTGCCTGCGGGCCCAGACAACTCCCCAATAGGAGGCCTCCACATGTCCATTATGGACACTTTTATGTATTGTGTTATGTACCCATAACACAACCTTTTTTTTTGTTTACGAAAATTTGTCTTTCGCAATCAACCCCATGCCTATTAGTTTTCTCCAAAGAAATTTAATTATTTTTAATATATTGGATATCAGTACGGTATTTTTCGATATGTGACTTTTCAAAATGAAATTCAAAAATGAGATTGTTTCACGGTTTTTATAATTTTTTAAATTATATATATTTCTTAAACGTGTACATCATTTCGAGAAAAAAACATAACAGAGTACAATTTCAAAATTAATAAACTTGTGAAAAAAAATAAAAAATTAGCTGGTTACATTTATGACATAAAATGTTGTTATTTATAATTTAACTAAACATGTTACTGTCATAAACCACACAATTTATATGTCACAACACACGAGATTACATTCACATGCCAGTCAAAGTTAAATATTAAATCATAAATTCACATACCAGGCAAAGTTATATATTAAATCATAAATTACAAAATTAATGGGTAACAAATCACACAATTAATTTGTCAAAATCATTAATTTAATCATTTGTTTGATCATAATTATATATTAAGTCGCAAATTACAGAATTAATAGGTCTTAACTCATTTTATGGTCACAAGGAAGCTATAAGTAATGCAAATATAAATCTCATAGAGAGTTCGATCTTGGTTCAAAATGAACGTTGGTGGCATGCTTAAAACATGAAAATCGAACTAAAAGTCCTATTTTCAGTGGCGGACGAGTAAGTAACGTGTAAGAACATGCCTTTAGGAAGGGAACAAGAACTGAAAACAACTGCTAACACCGTGTAGGCTGAGCAGTAAAAAGGAGGAATCCATCCGAGGAGGTACTTACATCTGATTAACAAGATATGATGCATTTGATTTCTAAACCTAAACCAATTGGGAAAGAAGATGAAGTGTGGGGATTTTTTTTTCTTTTTGGTTTTCTATTTCTTTGTGATTTCTAAATCTAAACCAATTGGGGAAGGTTTGAGATTGTGGATGATACAAATAAAATGTTTGGGTATAATTTGCAAAAAAAAAAAAAATTAAAAAAAATGACAAAGTTTGAGATCACAGTTACAATTATTTCTTTTTAATTTTGACAATCTTTATTGTTTTTAACACATAAATTAACGGATTTAGACAATAAGAGGGGTTTTCACACCTCAAATGTCACAGGGAGGTTTTCCATCAATATGAAAGGATGAGAGATTTTGCGTCAAGAAGCCAAAAAACTATTAGCCCCTGTTTGGGCTCCATTATTCTATATTATAATGTGATAAATAATAATTTTTTGAATAATGTGTGGTTGATAAAGAATGATTTTTTTTAAAAAAAATTATGAGTAATTTTATTAAAAAATATGTGATTGATAAGAAGAGAGAATAATGAATTTTAACTTAATGGGCCAAACAGGGGCTTAGCATATGATTTTTGAAAGAGAACAATACATAAATCAGGTTTTTAAGTATCACCATTTCAAAATTAAGATTTGAGGTTTTAAATTTCAAAAATCGGGTTTTCATTAAAATTTAGTTATGAATTGATTATATATTTTATTAATAAATATATAAAGGTCACATATCTATGCAATTTAGTCAAAATTCAAAAATTTTAAGGTCACAATTGAAAAATTTTATAGGTCACATTTCGTTCATCGGTCACAAATTAAAATTTTAAAAGTCACAATTTGTTTATCGGACACAAATCACAAATTTATAAGTCACACAATTTATTTTATGGTCACAACTTAATAAATTTGTAGCTCACACGGTATTTATTGGTCACAATTTATTATTTATTGGTCACTTACCAACCAATTTATTGGTTATAATCAACAAAACATTTGTGACCACCACCAACACAACATCACCGTCGTCTCCGCCACTGTCACCACCACCACCACAGAAACACCACTGTCGCCACACCAACATGACCATAACCATCACTTCCTAGCAACAAAATCACCGTTTCAAACATCTCTGCCAACGTTATCACCACCACCACTACACCCACCACCAAAACAACAAGACCCCACCACCACCACCCATCCAGAACCACCTCCCCGCCAAACACACAACCACCGCACCACTCCAAAACAATAGCACCTCACCATCACATCCCCGCCAAAACACACAGACCACCGCAATCGCATCCAAACCGGAAAAAAACACCCTCCAGATCGGAACCACCTCACCTAACCCCCACCACCGCATCCAAAATCGCAGCACACCTCGCACAGATCAGAGAACTCCACCACCGCACACCACCACCACTAGCACTTGCGCCCGTCGAGGGGCCCACCATTACTACCTTAGTAATCGTAGCCGCAACCGCATCCACACCAATTTCAACCTCTTCTGCTGGATTTTCATCAGCACCACCCCTCTGCTTAGCCATTGTTGATCTTCGACATCGACGGCGGCGGCGAGAAGAAGAGAGAGAGCAAGAGAGGTTAGAGAGAATGTGATAAATGATTTTTGATTTTTAGGGTTTGGGTAATTATAATTTAGGTAGAAATTAATTAATATTTAACATTTAAAATGAAATACCTTATTTTTGTATAAATAAACTCCAAACTTGATTTTTGAATTGAAAATTTTAAAATCAGAACCAGTTGTAATTTCCTCTTTTTGAAAGGTGATAAAGAAATATATGGGCCTCAAATTGTCGAAGCCCAATTAAGAGAGCAAGTCCAAATTCAGTGGCCCACAGAAATAGCTCAGCATGTACCCAACTGTGTATTATTAACAAAGGCAAAACCCTACCTCTTCATTTTTTCATCTCATTCGCCGTTCTCATTCGGTCAGTTTACCTATTCATCAAACTGTACTGTAATTTACACTCTCATGATCAATATGTTAAACGTTAATCTTTGTTATTTTTGAAAATGCAGTTTTGTTTTAGAAGAATTCGATTCAAAGTAAACAAAAATGAGTAAAGGAGGAGCTCCGGCCGGCGCTCAGAAAGGAGGGAAGAAGAAGGCAGCTACGTTTGTCATCGACTGCTCGAAGCCGGTAGAGGATAAGATCATGGACATCGCCTCACTCGAAAAATTTCTGCAGGAGCGCATCAAGGTCGGCGGCAAGCCGGGTGCACTAGGAGATTCCGTAACTGTCACCCGTGAAAAGAACAAGATCTCCGTTACTGCTAACGAGACTAGCTTCTCCAAAAGGTAGCTCTGTTGTCTTCTTCAAAATTCATATTCATTTCATTTCTTTTATTTTGTCCGCATGTGCTTGATTTGGTTTTTTATGTAATTATGTTGTTTTTATGCTAAAGCCTGAATTGTTTGCTAGATTGTGAGTCCTTTTTTCTGAGTTATATATGCTACAACATTTAACTGTTAATCAATTGAAACTCTGATAGATCTTTCGTAATGATTGGATCATGTTAACAATAAATCGATCCTTCTTTGCTTCAAAACCTGGGCTCTATATGTGCGTTTGCATTTTTGGATTGTCGTCATATATACACCGAGACTGAAATTCATGTTTTTCAGGTTTAGTATACTATATGGTTTTACGATATTGCTATGTATTCTAGTTGGTCTTTATTAAAATAAAAGCATATTAACTGATTTAGGAAACAAAAGAGCTCTTTGATCATATTTTATCAATTCTAGTTTTTCAATGGCTCACACAAAAAACCATAATTTAGTAGGGTGAGCTTTTTGGGCTTCCTTTCCAGAAGTGCGGTAACTCTTCTCCTGCAGGTAGATGCATAAGATGGAGCTAAATTTGTATGTCATTGAGGCTATGGGTTTTTGTCTTCATTGTTCACACCGAATAGACTGTCATTTCTTTTCTTTTTCTTGTACATTTTACTTTGGTATTTGTGTAGTACAAACTTTAAGAGCTGAGCTGAAGCTTAACAGAAAGAATTTGAGGGGAAAGATAATTAGCTGATACATGGGTATTTGTAAACTAGATAAATATACGCAGGGTCGTGGGCAGCCCCCCACTGGACTATGTTATCATTGAGTTCTAGTGCATCTGTGGCGGTGAATGAATAAAATTAGGAAAAGTATAACTTTTATGTATTGTCATTGTAAATGACTTGGAGATGTCTTTTTTCTAGAAATTGGAAATCATCTGATGGTGCTTTGCTTAGATTTTTGAGTGTGACATGGCCCCTTCATTAGCTCTATATGTTGTTCTCTGTTTCATTAACCATGGCATATGGGGACTGATTTCTTGGACTCATTCTCTCTTCCCCCATTCTCTTTGAGAAAGGGAAGAAGATAAAAGCGACTTGGGGGGTGGTTGTTTGGACGCTGGCTAAACGAATTACGACGTTGATAGTGCGAGACTTGCAAGTTATTGATGTTTGGTATTTGCATTTTTTGTTTTCTCTGCACTTAAATTTGCTAATGCTTAAAAATCTACATCACTTTTCTGTGTATATTATTATTATTACTATCATTCATTGTGTGTGGCATATGATGCTTAGGTACTTGAAATACCTGACAAAGAAATACCTGAAGAAGAACAATGTACGTGATTGGCTCCGAGTGATCGCATCTAACAAGGATCGTACTGTCTATGAACTAAGATACTTCAACATTGCTGAGAATGAGGCTGAGGAGGAAGAGTAACGAAGCAAATCAGAGTTTTTCTCCTAAGATATTCTCTCTTCTATTGCGAAGTAGATTTTATTTGTATTCAGGATTCCATTTGTTAAGACATCTCTTGCAGTTTTGTCCGTTGGGTCAGTTTTATGCTATATTTTATAGTGAAAATGAATCATTCCTGAAGTCTTTTGCTTTTACTTACTATAATCCGTGCATAGTGTAATAATTCGACTGCTAATGGAAAAATGAAATCTGCAGTGCTTGTCCATCTGATAGTCGTCTGGGAGTGTTCAATTTTCATCTATTGCTTGATAACATGTTAGATTTTGCTCTATTTTTGCACTAATTTCAATGTGACCATGTTCTAACGGTCTGAGAATTAAAACCTACCAACTGGCTCGAATCTGATTTTGATCATTAGTTTTACAATCATGTACCTTCTTGTTTACATTAAGGTCTTGTTTGTCACATTATTCTAAAACATTGTTTGTTACGGTAAGATTTTTCACCACACATTCATTCAATAAAATATTTTACACACAAATCAATAAAGTTACTTTAAATTTTAATCACACATTCTTCAAATAATACTATTCATTACTTCATTTCTTCTACAATAATGAGAGAGAAACACACTAAGCTTGCCATCTTGACACGTGACATTTATCATAGCCATTGATTTTTACAACACTTTTTTCACATCACTGATTAGACTTTGACCCGTAGGAAGATTATCAACAATAATATAAACAACGATGAACATATAGCTAGTTTTGTATCCATAATAGTGCAAAATGAAGGTTTTCAGCTCTAAGTTGTTCAAGAAAAGTAAAGAGTTTGAAATATATAAGGATTTGTTTGATTACTTGAGTGAAAAGAAAATGAATTTCAGGAAATTGAATTGTCTAAAATTGTTTTCCTGGAAATTGTCAATTAATTGTGTTCGATTAGTATAATTTTTCACGTGAAAATTATTGAAATTTTGAATTTTTTGGTGTTCGTTTAACTTTATTTTACATGAAAATTATCCATTAAAGGAATATAATTTGTTATAATTGAGAATAAAATTTGTTTCCATTGCAAAAAAAAAAAAGAAAAACCATGGAACTGGAAGCGCGTGAGGCAAAAGATGAAAAATGAACTGCCAAGAAAATTTTTCCAATCAAACATGATTTTTGATGGAAGATGAAATTTCATTTCCAAGTTTCATGAAAAAATTGTCAAATCAAACCAGGCTTAAATTCCAAAAATTGATCTCATATTAGCAAATCCTGGAACTCTCAAATAATTCTTGATTAATCTGGTTACCATTTCACTAAATTTTAAAGAACTCTAGTAAGATCCTTTTTTACTTGTTCGATAGGGTGAATTGCACAGCAATTGACAATAATAAGATAAAAAGAAATTAAAATAGTTAATTATGTATTGTGTACCAAATATGCCTAAATAAAGAAAACATAATGGACAAGATTCAAAATTAAACACAGTTCTCTCCAATCGTAATAGAGCTGAACTGATCGATGCAAGCAAAGAAGCGTCTCAAGTTTAATATACTCTCGAGTGGTTTTCCGCGCAACTATGATCCAAACAGTCATATATCCAAACGGGAAGTCAAAATTAAAGGGGCTATTTGGACAGATTAAATTGGTAGCTAAGACGACAATTTCAAGCTTCTTAAAGTGGAAGCAAGCAGGGAAACTTTGTTGGGAGCTCTCTGCTTGTAGTCTTTCTCCAAAGCCGTTGCGGACAGAGATGCCAGTTGCGAGTTCTCCTTATCGTCCTTGTTACGCCCTTTAGTCAGTTGCTCAATGGCAGATGTACACTGAAACGGTAATGTAAGACTTCCAGTTACTCATGGTTGTAAGATTCACAAAATGGATAATGCATTTTAAAAAATGAAATATAAATTCAATGTCCACAAAATGAAGAGAGAGAGATGGAGCCAAAGAGGAAGAGTCACCAAGCATATGCCAAAAAGCGCTCTGGTATTCTTGCCACCGGTTAAGTCTGTGGTAGATGCATAGTACTTTTTTGCCATATGAAGATTTTCGAGTCCTCCAAGCGTGTAGAGCACCTGGGTTCACCCAAAAAAAGCCGAGAAAAAAATGAAATGATTTAATCAAACTGTTATTGTTAAAAATATACAGAACTGACATTCAATGATATACAAATTTCCTAAAGTTGTGTTCAAAGAATCTATCAACATATTTAAGCACAGAACCAAAAATTTGCTTCATGGCCTCTTGAAATTAGTGAGCATAGGAAACCATATAATGGAACAAGAATATTCTTTTTGAGGTGAAAAATGTAGAGATTTTCCTCCCATGCCCTAACTTGGATTTAAATTTCCCTTTCATGACCTTCCAAGTTTTCAACTTCTTGTTTCGGCAAAGAAACTTCGACAAACAAAAGTGTTAACAATCTGATATGCACCAGTTAGCCAATATTTCTGTCTACACTCAACCAGAAAGGTATGCTGCTAACATCAGAAATGCTGTCGTGTAAACTTCTATTCTTCAAAATTCAAATATTATGGCCACTATATTGTAAACAAAATGGCCTTCGACCAGTACTCATTTGATTAAGAGAAAAATGCATCAACAGTCAATGACTCAGTCTGGTCATTTTGGTAATATGGATTGCACACCACAGCAGAACCGGGAATGGCTAAAGAATCACAATCAGTAGCTCCAGCAATTTGCCAGACTTAAATCTTTCAATGCCTTATTGAGACGTCAGATAAACATATACAGCCTAGTTATTTCTGTCTGTCTCATCACTCGTATTTAGTGATCATGAACCTTTTTTTTTTTGTTTTTTAACAGAAATCCCTATCTAATGATCATTTAGTATTAACTACTAGAAATAGTAGGGGGTTAATAATTCTATTAGTCACTGAACCTATAGCTTTGTTCCTGTGGAGGCTCACTCGAAAAGTCTGCTATACCATACCTTTTGACTTTACTCTAGCAGTCCTAGACTCACTATAGTAGTCTGTCTGGCTGCTGACTTCTTTCAAAACTAATCACTAAACTTCCATTTTTTATAAGACAGAAGTAGACAGAACACTTGAACTGAAACAAAAATTAAGTCTAGTGACTGATTTGGAAAAAAAATAAACAGTCCAGTGACCAAAGTGATACAGTTCCATAAGTTTGGTGACTATAAGAAATTTTAAAAGGATATAGTAAGCTATAAATGACTGGACACACCCTATTGACTAGGCACAAAGCTAAAAGCTTGCAATCTTGTACACCTTCGGGGGGAAAAAAGGAATGAAAAACTAATAAGAAACTTGCATGTGATATAGTGAACATATTCATAAATAAATTTGTCATCGGTTTAAGGGAATGAGAAACGTATCTTGAGGAGCTACTTACATCAGCATAGGCCAGGTGATACAATGGTATAGTTGGTTGAGATAAAATTAGCTCCTCATAACAGAAGGCAGCTTGTTTATACCTAATTTTAACCAGAAAAGAAAAATTAAATATAAGAAATATGGATCAATTCTTGGTAATATATACCCCAACAATACGAGCATTTTAGCTAGATTCCCCATGGCCGCACCATGATATTTTAAAATAGAAAAAAGAAAGTCTATCAAAAAAAAAAAAAAATAGATAAAAGAAAGAGTACATTTGTAGGGATACATAGATTTCAGCTAGTTCCCTCCACGCATCATGATCTGCCATGAATCTGGGGAAAGACCCACCAGTCAGAGATACTCAACATTTTCAAAACATATAAAGTTTGAAGCTTTAAAGATTTTCTCACATTTCGAGATATTTGTTGAGCCACTCAATTGCCCCGGAAATATTGCCTTGTGCCTTTGCCATGGCTACCCTCCTCTTGTGAATTACCTGCGTAATAAAATTATAAGTTAAGGGTCTGTTATCAAACAAACACCTCTAATCACCACTGACTACAAAAGGCATACAATTTTTTCTGACTACAGAAGGCATACACATTTTACACATCATGATGGGATTTATTCAAACAGAAATGAATGCTTGTTTACTAAAAACAGGGAAAAATATAAGGAGAACAAAATAAGAGGACAAGACATCCACTAATAGTAAAAACAGCACAGAAAACTACATGGAATCGCCATGTTCCCTAGAACCTAAACAGGATGTGCTTAAAATCTTAGTAGACATCCAAAGTGAAGCCGAAAATATAATCCTATCCCAGAGTCTAGTGCCATTCCCTTAAAAATTCTAGCATTCATTGCTAACCATAAAACGCAATGGATGGCTAAATTTTAGACTTCATATAACTTTAGCTTCTTTAGCCAAACCAAAACCACCATAATACCGACACATCATGGTAAAACAGGTTCCATACATCATGCGATCAATTTCTGCTTCCAATGACATGTTGGTCCAACATCTCAAGCCCAACTTAGAATGCAACACAACGTGATCAAATCGATTCAACAACATCATGAAAAAAAAACCATGAATGAGACAAAAGGATGCACAGTCTCTTCTTTTGGATAATATAAGTGGTATTTTAACTTATCGTGAGCCACTAACCAAACAAAAACTTCAGCTTTGGTGGGAATAGACAACTTCCAAATGAACTTAAAAAAGGAAGGAAATGAGGAATTTCAGAAGAATCATGAAGGATGACTGGAAGAGATAAATGATTCGTTCAAAAAAAGACCAAAAGAATCTAGACCCAAATCCTCATCCTTCGAATCTACTCAATTAGGGAGACCCTCAAATACATTAAGCAAAAGAATTAGTTCTTCCAACTGTTTTGTCAGAAGACACTGACAAGAAAAAAAAATTCTCTCCAAATAATTAAAAAAAGGAGGAAATAAAAACTCTAGGAATGGAAGTAAAACAATATAGCCAAGGAAAATGAGTAGCAAAAGATGCACAAATACTCACCCATCCTCGCCACATATCTCAAAGTTTAATCTTCTCCCCATTACCACCTCCAATCTTGTACAAGAAAGAAATTGTTGAGTAAATTGTGATACACGTTTCCAAGTATTCCCAGACCTAACTCTACCC